ATGACAATACAATAATAGCTGGAGATCTCAATACCCTACCTTCAGCAATGGACAGATCATCCAGATAGAAAATCAACAAAGAAACATCAGACTTAATCTATATTATAAACCAAATGGACCTAATAGATATTTACAGAACACTTCATCAAATAGCTGCAGAATACACATTCTTCTCCCTAGCATATAGATGAGTCTCAAGAATACATCATATGTTAGGCCATAAAACAAATCTTAAAAATTTCAAAAAAGCTGAAATTGTATCAAGTGTTTTCTCTCATCACAAAGGAATTAAAGTAGAAATCAATAACAAGAGGAACTTTGGAAACTATAGAAACACATGGAAATTACACAGTATGTTCCTGAACGACAAGTGAAGAAATTAAGAAACAAGAAATTAAGATGAAAATTTAATAATTTCTTGAAACAAATAATCGAAGCACAACATACCAAGACCTATGGAACACAACAAAAGCAATACTAAGAGGGAAGTTTATACCTAAAAGTGCTTACATCAAAAAAGAAGAAAAATTTCAGATAAACAACCTAATGATGCATCTTGAAGAACTAGAAAAGCTAGAGCAAACCAAACCCAAAATTAGTAGATGAAAAGAAATAGTAAAGATCAGAGCAGAAATAAATGAAATTAAAATGAATAAAATATGAAAAAAATCAATAAAACAAAAAGTTGGTTTCTCAAAAAGTAAAACAAAATATACAAACCTTTAACCATACCAAGAAAAAGAGAAGACAAATAAAACCAGAGGTGAAAAAGCAGATATTACAACAGATACTGCATAAATTTAAAGCATTGTTAGTGGCTACTATCACCAACTATATGCCAATAAACTGGAAAATCTAGAACAAACAGACAAATTCCTAGACATATACAATCTACCAAGACTGAACCATGAAGAAATCCAAAACCTGAACAGACCAATAGCAAGTAACAAGAACGAAGCCCTAATAAAAAGTCTCCCAGTAAAGAAAAGTCCAGGACCCAATGGCTACACTTTGGGAGGCTGATGTGGGTGGATCACGTGAGGTCAGGAGATCGAGACCACCCTAGCCAACATGGTGAAACCTAGACTCTACTGAAAACACAAAAGTTAGCCAGGCATGGTGTTGCTTGCCTATAGTCCCTGCTACTTGGGAGGCTGAGCCAAAAAGAATTGCTTGAAACCGGGAGGTGGAGGTTGCAGTGAGCCGAGATTGTGCCACTGCACTCCAGCCTAGGTGACAGACTGAGACTCCGTCTCAAAAACAAACAAACAAACGAATAAAAACTATACTGCAATAAAAATAATGCTGTATATTATTTATCAATGTACATATGTGTGCAGCAATTTTTTTAAATTATTGGAAAATTAGCATGAACACCTGAAAGTGTCTCCAGAGATGAGTAGAAGAGGATGGGGCTGTAGATAATGATTAAATAAAAATTTAGCTTTATTTATCACATTTTCTATCTTTAAAATATACAGTGGAAGAATATATGTTAATTTCTAAAGGGTATAAGGGTATTTCTTATATGTGCTTTCTATTTTTCTGTATCTCCTAACTTTGCAAAAATCCTTTATAGAAAACAAAGTTAATTTCTCATGTTTGAATGCCTACTCTGTGAAAATATCATTCTTTTCCTACTTTTTGTCTAAATTAAATAGTGTATGACCTGCGAAACATAAATAAATCTATAAAATTAAACATTGTATGTGTATAACATTTTCCTCATATTAAAAGGGAGCTCTGAAGAATGGGGCTAGCATGTTTTTTACTCATATCTTTACTTGTGGCAACAGATATATATTTTGAACAAATGCAAAAGACTTATACTTAATTTTTCTTGAAAATAGCTGATGGCTATTTATATATTCCATCTATAGAATAATGCTTAGTATAGGGCTATAGTGCATTTCAAAATAGGTTTAAAATATTTTACTTTGATATTTACAGTACCTGCTTTTGGGAATCACAAATCTTTGTCATTTACCTAGTATACTATTTAGCTCATAGTTGTAAAATACTATCTATATGTCATACATATCTTTAGAGTAGGCAAAATGTAAAAAAAAAAAGAATACAGTTAAAGTGATGACAGCTCAATCTAAACATGTAAAAAATCTATAATCTTGGTTAAAATTTTCTTCCAAAACTTCAGCGGTTTGGCCTATACAGTTCATATTTCTTTTTCTAAGCTTTGTTGAGGAAATTCTATAATGGTTTAAAACACAATGCAATGAAACTGATAGGGAAAAAAATGCCAAAGAATACTTTGTGTTCCTCTTTTCAACCTCCTAACAAACAATGGTACTTTTAATTACATATGAAAAAGCTGAAAGTCTTTGAAAAGTTTTCCTGAATATAAAGTAATATTTTTAGTATGAAGCCTGCCCAAATATTGAAATCTATCTTAAATATTACTTATTAATGCACAATAAATTCAAGGCCTATAAGTTCAAAACCTATTAATGCCTGATTCAATACTTTGGAATAAAAAAAAATGTTGAGGGTTTTAAAATCACGAGAAACAGATACAAAATAATTAAATTAGAATATTTACCGAGCATACAGGAATTCCACCATAAATAGGCGGGAAAAGAAAGACTGAACTTAATCTGTTTTCCTAAGTTCCATTATTAAAAATATCACAGAAATCAACAGATGCTACCCAAATCCTCAAGTTGGTAACCTGAAAAATTTCTCAGTAGATGAGAATCTGGGATCTTGACATCTTCCATCCCAGTTATTATGTGAGAGCCCACGAAGTCTATACCAATGTATTAACTAAAGATAATTTATCTGTATCTATGTAATACTTGGGGAGTTACTTTATCAGTAGAGAATTCTTAGTTACCACATCAGTTACATATCCCTATGTACAGAATATTCAACTTAAATCTAATTCTAGTTAATTCTAGTTAATCACTCGTTACATTTATTTGAGTTCATAGCGATTTTTGAGATGGAAAATTTCTAAATTCTGATTCTTATTCTTTCCTGAAGTACTTTTTGAATATTAGATGTTCTTGGACCTTTCTATCATCTAAAGAAAATCTGTATTAAAAATAAAATTACATATAACAATGAAATATAAGTTATACCTATAACATAGTAGCAAAAGTAAGATATTTACCTTAGAATAGATAAGATTTGAAATAGCTAGAATTGAGAGTAGCTTCAGGGAGAAATTCATATTAAAGTAACTCATTTGATCATCTATAACATACTCTCTCTAAAATGCACATGAACCATATAGTGACTGAAGTGCTTTTTATTCCTCCTAATTTTCTCTTTACAAGTAGTTGAAATCTGTGCTAAAATGTGGATTTCTTACTTGATACTACCAAGTATGGCATCTCAAAAATTATAAGAAAGGAAATTAAAATTGGTAGTGAAAAGGAAAAAAAAAAAGTATGTCTAACACAGATTTTTAGTTGAATCCCTAGTGTACTATTTTTATTTTTCTCATAGTGTATGTAATTTAAGAAACTCCCAAGAAGTAACTATACCACTACTTTTCAAACTCTCAACGAAGAAAATTCCTCTTCCAAGGAGAATAAGTAAAATAGTTTTTATAACAACTCTAACGTTTTATAATTTTCCTCTGACAATGTCAGAATTTACTCTTATGAAAAGCCTGTGGTCTAGTATATTATTTAAGAGAACACTGAAAAGTTCAATTGTTTTTTGTGTAATAAGATTGAACAATTAAAGCTGAGAATTTTTTGTTTCTTTTAAAAAATGTTCTTTCATGTCACTTTGCTATTTGCACAAAAAAAAAACCTTAGGAATACATATAGTTTATAATATCATGGCGAGATATAAAACAATGTCATTTAACTAGAGAAGAAAGAAAGGAAGAGTAGGAGAAAGGAAAAGGAAAGAGAAGAAAGAGAGGATATTAAAGAGAAGAAAAGAAAATACTAGCCAGTAAAATATATATGGGATGAAATCATTCTAGGAAATGTGGTTCCTATACAGTGGTTGTGGTATCAGTGACTGTGTCTACATTGTAACATAGAGCTCAGTCTCATCTGGTATCCCCCACTGCCACATTTCCAACGGCCAAGCCTGTAAAATTCAGAAACTTCTGGTGTAAGCTGGAATGCAGCTAAGGTTTGGGTACAAGGCTACTCTGGGAATAAAGTCAGAACACAATTCTTAACTGTCATAACACTAATCCTTCACCATTAAAATGTTTATATGGATTGTTTGAATCAAAGCACTAGATATTAGAATTAGAGAATTTAAGTGTAACTTAAAATTGTGTGTGACAGTGATTTAAATACTGTTTTCTAATATAATGAAATATTTTTTTCTCTGCAAAATAATTTTCTAACAAATCATTCATTCCACAAGCAAATAACATAAAGAATGGAGACCTAAAGAACAAAAAACCTTTTCTTTTTCGTTTGCTTTAAGTTCATCTCAAAGTGTAAGTTAAACTTATGCTTTAAGATTACCTTACCAGGAGTAAGGTATAATGTGACTATTTGCCTGAGTAAAAAGAACCATGCATAGGTTACTGGAATACATTAAAATAGATACTTATATTAAAATCTTCACATTTTACACTAGTATTTGCAAAGAGTAACTGATTAATATATTAGTTTAATAATGTAACTTATCATAAACACAAAGTTTCAAACATAGGGAAATGCATAAGCTATATATATGTATGAAGCCTGCTTTTAAAAACTAAGATGTAACACAATACAAAACATGTAAAAATATTTCAAAGATGAGAAAAACTAAGTGGAACAGGAACGCTAGTAAAGTGTCTTTTTGATTCAGAGTTCCCTCCCTCATCTATGTTATCCTTTAATATGAGCCTTATTAAAGAAGTCCAGTAATTAAACTAATTATATTAGTAAACAGTACCTGGGATTTTTTAAAACTCATAGACCTGCCTAACACAAATATAAACTAAACAATACATGTAAAACAAAATATCCACTTTTACAATATAGTATACAATTATTCAATCTTAAAGTTCTCTTTACCTTTATTGTCTGCCTGCTTGTCTGAAATCGTTGATCAGATACTTGCTGTTGATGGAGGAGCTTTTCATTAACTTCTTTATATTCTTTAACAGACAATTCTGCTGTTTTCTTGGCATTCTGAAGTACGCTGTTTTGTTGTTGCAAGGATATAATCCGTTCTCGTAATAAAATAACATTGCTACTTGATTTCTGGGCAGTTATATTTCTGTATTTTTCTCTGTTGACTATATAAAAATAATATTGTTCATAGTATTTGAAAAATTAGATTTAATTTTTAAAAGACATATTGTTAATTGCATACACATTCTTACCTCTAGTAGGAACTGCTGTATGTGAACTCTTTTGCATCTTATAATTCTTCTTTTGAAAAGTTGGTTTTTTGGCATTCTTATCATGAAAATAGTCCTAAATTTGAAGGTTTCATAATAATTGTATTATTCTTCAATAACAAGATCAAGTGAACTAATAAAAATAACATTTCTTCACTTAAAAATACAATTGTTTATGCAGAATTTTTTAAAAAAGTCTGTGGGAGGCCAAGGCAGGAGGACTGCTTGAGGCCAGGAGTTTGAGACCAGTCTGGGCAACATAGCAAGACTGTCTCTCACAAAAAAATTTGAAAAAAATTTTTTTTTAACTCTAGATGATAAAATTCTATAACTGATACCAAGAATTTACAAATGTACTTACATACACTGAACTTAAACTAGCAGGCAGAAGATACAGATACAAAATCAACTCCAAAGAAGTAGAAATTTAATCTAGGGACAGCTTAAAAACTTAGGAGTAAATATGATAACAGTAACAAAAGTAAAATGTGAATAATTGATAACTTATTCTCTGAAAATATAGGCCCTTTTCTCAAATACTCTATTATATGCTGACAAATGAAGCTAATAGCCTTCTGACAAAGCCAAAAATAAGGCTGACAATAATAAAATAACTTCCTGAAGCTGTATGTTTTCTTCATGGCACTCTAATACATGGAGGCTGAACAAAATGAAGCCTTTGTTGACTTTTGTTTTAAAATGTTTCACCAATTTAAAAATGAATATATTAGTAGTAAAACATGAGGTCTTAAGTTTTTTTTTTTTTTTTGAGATAGAGTTTGGCTTTGTCACTCAGGCTGGAGTGCAGTGGCACAATTTCAGTTCACCGCAACCTCCGCCTCCTGGGTTCAAGCGATTCTCATGCCTCAGCCTCTCAAGTACCTGGGACTACAGGTGCACACCACAACCCTCAGCTAATTTTTGTATTTTTAGTAGATATGTGGTTTCACAATGCCATCCAGGCTGGTTTCAAACTCCCGGCGTCCAGTGACCCATTTGCCTCGTCCTCCCAAAGTGTTGGGATTATGGGCGTGAGCCACAGTGCCCAGCCTTGTTTAAGAATTTATTGGCTGGGAAACATAGATATATTCAATCTAGAAAATTATTTCTTATTTGAAAAAGAACTTTTTAAAAAATCCCAATCCAGCAACAAATCACCTGAAAGTCATGAAACCAATTAACACATACACCAGAAGTCTATATCTAAAATAAGGTTTTCTTTTAAACTGATTAGTTTCAGAAATTATAAAATCCTAACAATGTTTCATTTCTCAAAATATTTTTGAAATGCTTCATTTAAACTTATCTTCAGAACCGGCATATAAATTTTTAATTGCTTATTAAGATTCAATTAGTATTTAAGTATCAGCCATGCACTGAGCACTGTTAAAAAAAAAATCCAAAATACAACTACCAATTGAATTACTAATATCAGTCACCAGATTTGGTATCCAATTAATAGTAGCTAAAATTAAATTACAAAGAAGTGGGCTTCTGTTTCCAGTACTATTACTGAACACAAACTCAAGAAAACTCTCATACTATGAAACAAACACACCTACAGTGTATTTCTAACATGGCAAAAAATAAAAAGGAAATTGTCAGAGGCCAACAATGAAGTGAAAGCAGAAATTCAGAGACCATACAAAAGTGACCAACAATGTAGCCAGCAACATGTAGAACAACCAACAATCCCTTGTGATCTTGAAATTCCACTTAAATAGCAACACAGAATGCAGAAGGCAAGAAAGAAAGCCTAGTTCCCAATCCAAGATGAGAAATTTGAGGTCAGAAAGCTATGGTATTGTATACGTCAATAGTTAGCTCCTTTCTATTGCTGAGAAGTTTCCCGTGTTACAGATGTACCACAGTTTGTTTAGCTGTTCAGCTACTGAAGAGAATTTTGGTGGTTCCCAGTTTTCAGCTACTACAAATAAAGGGGCTTTGATCATTCATGTACAAGTTTTTTTGGTAAACATATATTTTCATGTCTGTGGGATGTGTCTAAGGGTGTGATAGCTGGGTTGTATGGTAAATTTAGTTTTTTAAGAAACTGACAAACTTTTTCAGAGTGCTGTATTGTAGAATTTTATATTCACATGAACAATATATGAGAGATCCAGTTTCCCTGTCCCCTTGGTCAGCACTTGCTATTTTCACTAATTTTTACTTTAGCTGTTCCCTAATACGGATGTTGAAAATCTTTACATGTGCTTATTTGCCATCCATATATCCTTTTTTGGTAAAATGTTTGCTCCTGTCTTTTGCCTATTTTGTAACTGGATTGTTTAATTTCTTCCTGTTGAGTGTTCAGCGTGCTTTATATATTCAAGCTATAAGACTTTTGTCAGACACATGGTTTTTAAATATTCATCTCGCTCTATGGCTTGTCTTTTCATCTTCTATGTAGTGTCTTTTGAAGAGCAGAAGTTCTTAATTTTAATGAAGTCGAATTTACTGACGTTTTCTTTTATGGATCGTGCTTTTGGTATCATGTCTAAAAACTCTTCACTCAGCTCTAAGACTTGAAGATTTTCTCTTACATTTCTTTCTGAAAGTTTTATGATTTAATATTCTACATTTATATGTGATCCACCTCAAATTAACTTTTGCATAAAGTGTAAAGTGTAGGTATAGGTTCCTTTATTTTTTGCACAGAAATATCCAATTGTTCCAGCGCCATTTTTGGAAAACATTATCCTTCCTTTGCACCTTTGTCAAAAATCAGTTGTTCATACTTGTGTGGATCCATTTCAAGATTCTCTGTTCCATTATGTGAATAATAATGGTGGGTGTATGGTGCCATCAGTCTTGACATCTGAATCAATTTTGGGTGATAAAGATTAATGCCACTACCTGTGGGGCAAACATAGTTATTTAATTTTTCAGTCCTAAAATTTAGATTTGGGTATTTTTATATCTTCTACCTATTTGCTGAGACTTTCTAATTCTTTATTGGGATATTCTACTGCTTTTTGTTTTAGGCCTATTTTGTTTTGTTTAGGCCTGTCCATAATTGCTTGTTGAAGCATTTTGATGGCAGCAACTTTAATATACTTGTCACATGCAGATGCCTCCTAACATACAATGGGTATCCATTATTACATCCTGATAAACTCATTAAGTTGAAGACATCATAAATCAAAAATGCATTTAATACATCTAACCTACCAAACATCATAGCTTAGCCTAGCCTACTCAGAACACTTACATTAGCCTATACCTGGGCAAAATCATCTAACACAAAGCTTATTTTATAATAAAGTATTGAATATGTCATGTAATGTATTTATTGAATATTGTCCTGAAAGTGATAAAAAGAACCGTTGTACGGGTACTCAATGTACAGTTTCTACTGAACATGTATCAATTTCACACCAACATAAAGTAGAAAAGTTTTAACTCAAACCATTGTAGTGAGTTGGGGACTGTGTGTAACTCCGACATCTGTCATCCTGCTGTTGGCTTCTGTTGATTGTCTTTTCTTGTTATAATTAAGGTTTTCCTGGATCTTGGTATAAGGTGTGATTTTCAACTGTATCCTGGACATTTTGGCTATTATATTTCAAGGTTCTGTATCTTACTTGAATCTTATTTGAAAAGGCCTCATCTGACACCACACTGATGGGGCAAGGAGCACACCATCTAATTACTGCCAGTTGGAAGTGGCAGTCTTAGTTGACAAACTGGTTGGGGAGGGCCACCTCATTACTGCTTGGTGGAGGCAGAACTTCAGGCTACCCAATAGGCATCTGCTGATACCATCATGGCTGGATAATGGAGGGGGACCTCGTTAATGTTCCCCACTAGGCTTCCACTGACATCATGGGGAGGGGGTTGGGGCTTGTTAGGTGTGAGTGGTAATTAAATTCCCCATCTCTGCACTTGGCCTCTGAAATTATCTTGCTCAGAAGCGAAAGGCATTTCATGCTGAATGGAGATGGATATCCACGTTCCCTATGTGATATCCAGTGACATGGAAAGGAGGGAGCCAGCGGTTCTTAACCTTTTTGGCACCAAAAACCAGTTTTGTGGAAAAACATTTTTGCATGGATGGGGGGTGGAGGGGGTTGGGGAGTTGGAGATGGTTTCGGGATGAAATTGTTCTACCTCAGATCATCAGGCATTAGATTATCACAAGGAGCGGCAACCTAGATCCCTTGCATGCACAGATCACAATAGGGTTCATGCTCATGTGAGAGTCTAATGCCTCCGCTGATCTAACGGGAGGCAGAGCTCAGGCCGTAACAATGGCTCACCCACCTCTCACCTTCTGCTGTGTGAGTCATTTCCTAGCAGGCCACAACAGGTACCAGTCTGCAGCCCAGGGGTTGGGGATCCCAGGAGGAGGTCATTATCACTAGCTCCACACTTGGTCTTCTCTGGCATCACTCTGATAGGAGGAGGAGAGGTGAAGAGTATCTACTTATTGCCAGGTAAGAGTGGGAATCTAAGTTCCCATTAGGTCTTTACAGATGGGGCTGGAAACAGGGTTGCAATTTTTTCTGTGGTGTTTGCCTGGAGTAGGACACTTAACTGTGTAAGCTTCTCTGTCTTGCTAGGCTGGCCTTTTCCAGGTGACTTGGCTAAAAGAAGGGTTTTATCCGGGGCATGTATTGTCTGACCTACTGGGGTTTCTAGGTTGGGGATTTCAAGTACCCAGGCCAGGATACATGAAGCAAAATGAAAACCCAGAGAACTCACCACCATGTTGTTCCTTGAGTGATGAGGTACCTAGCTGGTCTGCTGCCTTCTCTCCACCTTTCAGCATCTTCTTCTTGTTTTATATTAATTTTGGTTAATAGAGTCACTATCAAAATCTCAAAAAAAGTTTTTGTAGAACTTAAACTGATTTTAAATTCATTTTGAAGAGTAAAGGACCAAGAAGAGACTCTTGATGAACAAGAAGGTAGGAAACTTGTTCAACAAGCAATCAAGACTACTAAAATGAAACTAAGACAGCATGATACTGACACATTTACTGAAGGAATAGAAGAAAAAGCCTAGATAAATATCCCTATGTTTATGTACATTTGATTTACAATAAAGGTGGCACCTTTGAAAAAAGCAAGGAAAAAGTTCATGACAAACATTGGGGAAAAATTGGTAAAATTAATCCCTATCTTACATCACATGAAAAAAATCAATACTAGACATTGATGTGAAAATCAAAACAGAAAAATATAGGAAAAGATAACATGAAAGGTCATATAGGATATATCTATGTTACAGTAAGCAATGCATTATACAGAACACAAAATGTGCTATTCATAAACAAAAAATTGGTAAGTTTGGCCACTTTAGAATTGAGATGCTATATTCTTCAGAAGACTCCAGAAAGAAGAGTAAAAAGGCACACCATGGAGTAGGAAAAGATATCTACAATACATAACTAACAAAAGGCTCATATATAGCATACATAAAAATTTCTAAGCCAGTAAGAAAAATACAGATAACTCATTTGGAAAATGGGCAGAGACTTGAAGACGCAATTTACTAAAGAATTCCAAATGGCCAATAACCATGAGAAAGTACTGAACATCGTATTAGTAATCACAGAAACTTAAACTCACAATGATATACCTCAACATACACAAAAAAGTAGCTGAAATGAGAAAGATTAACCTATCAAGTGTCAATGAAGAGCAGCAAAAATTTCTGTAAAATCTATTTATCAATCAATCAGCAGGCATTCAGCATATATTCTTGGTCTGTACTTCATTCTGGTAGTAACTAAAGAAGACCTTTCCTCCAAAGTGCTGGTAAGAGCTCAAAAAATAAATGTTTTTGAATTATGTTTTAAAAGAACCTTATAGGTTAATTCAAAGACAACCTAATTTTTACAACAAAATAAAAATGAACTTTCCTTAATTTTTCACTGATTTATGCTAAATAGGTAAACATTTGGTGTCATGTTGTATCAGTAGTAGGAATTACTGAAAAAGTTGTATTAGAACTTCAATTTTTCAAAATTTAAAATACATTGAGAAGTTAGCTAAAATAAGTAATTTAAAGATTTAATCAGACTAAATGACTTTATCATTGCAAAGACTAATATACAAAAAGAAGTTTCCTCACTTGGAATATTTCATATACCTGAAAACAATAATGAGCTTATTAACCACTTTTTTGCTGAGATATATATATATTAAGAATTATAATAATAGTATTTATTTTCATTTTTGTCTATGAAAAAGCTAACAAACAAGTACCTGAAAATTATTTAAAAGTGAATATTTTCACTGTATACTTCAAAGAAGACTTAACTTTTAAGAATTCAAATTAAATCAATAGTAACTTTTATTTACTTAAGTTATAAAGCATAAGATAAAATTTAAAACATAGCATACAATTAAGCAAAATTGTGTCATTTACCGTTGGGGTCTTGCCATCTATATTTAAATATGTCTGTACTATTTCTTTTCCTTTTGTTTGGCTGTCTTCTGTTGGATCACTTTCTTTCTGGTCTTTTCCACCTTCTGTAGGACTTATTTTCTGGGATGTTTCTACAATAATTGTTCCCAAAGTTTGAGAGGTCTGTGCTTCAGAATCACTGCTTTTCAGAAAAAAGTAGGGACATAAAACCCAAGAATAAAAGTTGTTACATGTGCTTGTCTTAAGTTCAAGACCAAATAATATTTTAGGATAGACTGTATATAAAGCTGCAAGTTTAATGTGGGCATTTACTGGTTCTCAATGTAAAAGGGAAAATCAGTCTAAATATACTGTACAAAATTAAAGAATTCCATCAAGAAAACAGATTATCTAATTTCAAATCCCTACCAACATCATTTCTATAGTACTTCTACCAAGTCTTAACTCAGGAAGCATTTGCTATAACACTTCCAAGGTTGGAGCATGCATTACTTTCCCAACATGGCCAGAAAAGTTTAATATTTCTAACAAAGTTTTTCCTTCACCTGAAACAAAATTTGACTCTCTGAAGCTTTCACCCACTGATTCTAGTTCCATCCCTTATGGCTATTTATCATTCAATAAAATACTTCTTAAGCACCAACTATGGGCCCAGGTACTTTTTTTTTTTTTTTTTTTTAAAAGACAGAATCTCGCTGTGTCACCCAGGCTGGAGTGCAGTGGCGTGATTTCAGCTCACTGCAACCTCGGCCTCCTGGGTTCACGCCATTCTCCAGTCACAGCCTCCCCAGTAGCTGGGATTACAGGCGCCCGCCACCACGCCCGGCTAATTTTTTAGTAGAGACGGGGTTTCATTGTGCTAGCCAGGATGCTCTCAATCTCCTGACCTCGTGATCCGCCCACTTCAGCTTCCCAAAGTGCTGGGATTACAGGCGTGAGCCACTGCACCCAGCCAGGCCCAGGCACTTTTGTTGGCATAAAGGCTAAGGTAGTAGTGAACAAAGTAGAAAAAAAATCCCTTCCCTCATGTAACCTTTATCCTGGTAAGGGTAGAGGGACAGAAAACAAGAATAAGGAGTAAAATACATAGTATGTTAATAGTGATGTGTTAAAGAGAAAAAAATAAACAAAAATCAACAAGGGTAGGGGACAGGAAGTGTTGAGATTGTGTGAAACATATAAGTAAGTCCCTTTCCTGCATGGATGAGCTTTTAACTATTTAGACATTGTTATATGCTGCTTGAGATACCATGAAGAATAACATCCCTAGCTTGTTCAAATGTTCCTAACATATATATTTTTGAGATGCCTTATCTCCCTGGTCAATCTTTTTTTTTTTTTTTTTTTGAGATAGAGTCTCACTCTGTTGTACCCAGGCTGGAGTGCAGTGGCATGATCTTGGCTCACTGCAACCTCCGCCTCCCGGGTTCAAGCGATTCTCCTGCCTCAGCCTCCCGAGTAGCTGGGATTATAGGTACCCGCCACCATGTCCGGCTAATTTTTTGTATTTTTAGTAGAGATGGGGTTTCACCGTGTTGGTCAGGCTGGTCTCGAACTCCTGATCTCAGGTAATCCACCTGCCTCAGCCTCCCAAAGTGCTGGAATTATAGGCATGAACCACCACGCCTGGCCTCCCTCGTCACTCTTGAATGTGTTTCAGCTCATCATGATGGAGCATCATGTCCAGAATTCAGTTTCATATTCCTGGGACACTATGAGAGATACTGAGTAACACTCTTGGTAGATGCAGACTAAAAGTGTGTAAGCTTCTTTAGCATGTACATCATGCTACAGACTCAACTAAGATTTAACAAAACCACCTAAAGTATTTCAAATAAGATTTAACAAAATCACCCAGACAACTATTAAAGCCACATATTTCTCCCATTGTACAGTGCAACTGGTATTTTACAGCCAAGTAAACTATCCTGTAGGTATTTGTGTAAATATATTCCCGGTCTATTGAGATCTTTGGGGATCTTGATTCTATTGTGTAACATATTTTACATCCCTTTCAACATCATGTTAATCACAATTTGATAAACATGCTTCAATGGAATTTAGATGTTCTGTATTTAGTGTAATTCTATTTTAAAAGGTTACTGGTTAGTCTGATAAGAATTTCCCTTGAAGAACCCATACTGGCTTTGAGAAATCACTATTTCTTTTAAGAAATATTCATAAAGTATTCTTTGATAATGTCCTAGAACCTTATTTAGGATTTATTTCAAAAACATCAACTGTAGAATTATCCTTGTGTTTTTAATATCACAACTACACTTTTCTGTTTTCCATATTCTCATACCACTTGGGTTCTCCTTCAAAATACCAATAGCAATTGATCAAATCTACAAGTTATTTCAATATCCTAGAATTCATTATTTCTGAATCAGAATACTATAATTTGCTTACATGTTCTACTATAATTGTTTACCTCTTTTTGTGTTCTATTCCTCTTTTTTGTTTGGCCAAAACTTAGCAGAAATTCAATATGTAATGCCCAAAATGGTATGAAAGGTGTCATAAAAAGCAGTATATTTCATAATAAGACACTCTCAAAACAAACTATTTAGATTTGATTGGAGAGCCCTTGTTGGGGGGTAGGCAGGGGCAGCAGCAGGGAGGCGTGTCTCTTAGTGATGGGGCAGAGTGCTTCCTTCTCTTTATAATTCTTTATTCATTCATTATTCAAAAAAAACATTTATTGAATGGCTACTATGCCCTATGCATGTGAAAGAATTGATGAACAAATTCTACAAATAAGTTTCCAGTCTATCCACGAAGAAAACAATAAGCACAATAAATCTGAAATATGATATAGTATGTTATAAATTATTAAGTGCGACTGGGGAAAAAATGAGCAAGAGGAAGGAATCCAAATTATGGGAGGTAAAATGGCAGCAGGCTGAAATCTGAAATAGATTGATCATTAGTAATACTGAAGCAAAAACTTAGAGGAGAGGGAGTTGGTTGTTTTAGATATGTGGCTAAATACATTCCAGGCAGAAGACACCATCAAACTCAAATCCCTAAGGTAGAAGTTCCTGCTTTCAGGGAGCAACAATCAGCCCACTGTGGGTAGAACACAGTAAATATGGACTAAAGACAAGGTTGAAAGCAGAGAGGGTGGTTAGGAAAGTTCTTTTCATATTCCAGGCAACTGATGATAGATAAAAGAGTGATGACAACCAAACTGATAAGAAATGGTCAACTTCTGGATATTTTTCTAAAGAAATCCACCAAGATTTCCTGATAGAGTAGATGTAATGACTGACAGAAAGACCGGAATCAAAGATGGTATCAAGCTTTTGGTCAGTGCAACTGTAAAGATAGAATTATCATTAGTGAGAAAGAGGAAGACAGCAGATGAAATAGGCTTGGTGGGATAAAGCCCAGGAGTTTGTATTAGGCTATTTGATATCCAAGTATGATGGTAAGTTGACAGTTAACTTCACATGTCTAAAATTCAGAGCCTGACCAACATGGAGAAATCCCATCTCTACTAAAAATACAAAATTAGCCGGGCATGGTGGCGCATGCCTGTAATCCCAGCTACTCTGGAGAATCGCTTGAACCCAGGGGGCAGAGGCTGCAGTGAGCTGAGATTGCAACATTGCACTCCAGCCAGGGCAACAAGAGCAAAACTCCATTTCAAAAAATAAAAATAGTAATAATAAGATAAAATTCAGAAGTGAGGTCTAGAATGGATACATACATTTTGGGGTGCCTGGAATATAGGTGGTAACAATGATGTTAATAAATACTATGATATCACAAAACAATGAGTTTAGGTTTTAACGTGTCCTCCAAAGTTCACATCTTGGAAACATAATCCTCAACGCAACAGTGTTGGGAGGTGGAATCTAATAAGAGGTGATTAGATCATAAGGCCTCATGAATGATTTAATGTTATCATGGGAGTGAGTTTGTTATAAGAATAGGCTTGTTATAAAAGCAAATTTGGTCCCCTCTTGCTCTATCAGGCTCCTTGCCCTTCCACCTTCAGCCATGATAACACAGCTAGAAGACCCTCACCAAATGTGGTGCTCTCAACCTTGGACTTCTCAGCTTCCGGAACTGTAAGAAATAAATTTCCTTTCATTATAAGTTGCCCAGTCTGTGGTACTTTTTTTGTGTTGTTACAGCAACACAAAATGTCCAATGACTGAAGACAATATGAGGGAATGAGGGTGAATGCCACAAAACTAACAAATGACACTGAGGTTAAATATCAGTAAGAAGAAGAAAATAAAGAGTATGGTATGGCAAACTATAATAACAAGAGGTATAAATCAACTGTGTCAAATGCTGCTGAGAAGTCAAGTAAGGTGGGGACTGAGAATCCACCTTTGAATTTGGCAAAGTGGTAGTGACCCTCAAAATAATTGTTTTAGGCTGGGCGCAGTGGCTTGCACCTGTAATCCCAGCACTTTGGGAGGCTGAGGTGGGCAGACTGCGTGAGGTCAGGAGTTCAAGACCAGCCTGGCTAACATGGTTAAACCCTATTTCTACTAAAAATACAAAAATTAGCTGGGGGTGGTGGTGCAAACCTGTAGTCCCAGCTACTCGGGAGGCTGAGGTAGGAGAATCATTTGAGCCCAGGAGGCAGAGGCTGCAGTGAGCCAAGATCACACCACTGTACTCCAGCCTAGGAGACAGAGCAAGACTGTCTCCAAAAAAAAAAAAAAAAAATTTTGTTTCAGAGGGATGATGAAGGGATGAATGGAATTTGAAACAAGGATTGTATACAACTTTTTAAAATTTCACTGTCAAGGACAGCAAATACGGAGGACTACTAGGTAAAGGGGAACTAACAGGTATATAATGAATTCTCTGGTTTCCAAACATGGTCCTCCTAATTTTACCTCAATAATTGGGATAATTGCTCTGGCTAATACCGTAGCTCCTTTTGACAGTTTTTATTTCAGTATGGGGAATCCAAAATGGCCAGGGTACAATCTCAGCTTCTACCTCTATAGACCATAATTGTGTTCCCTCAGAGAACTTTCCTATCTTGGGCATCAGGACTCTCAAATCCCCTAGCCCAAGGTCATACTAATGAGAAGCAAAAATTCCTCCAGTGGGTTATTTGGTTAAATAATTACAGAGGCCACTCCAACGTAAATACTTTATTCCTGGAACTATGCATTCTTGGAGATAAAATAATAAACTGTCAGTTTA